TGGTGACGAGGGAAACAAGGAAAACGGCACCTACCGGATGGTGGAGCACCGAAATTATTTTAGTTTTCAAAACAGTTTCTTCACTTTTTTGGTTTTTTAAAACGGGTTAGTTTTGATTTTCCAAAGGTTTTATCGTTTTTGGTTTTTATACGGGATTGGTCAGAAAGATAGGGAAAGCGTGCAAAGAGAAGCAGAAGGAAAACTAATCTTTCAAACGCGCTGACCAGTGAAACGGCTACCCGACCTAATCGACTTCTGCGGTTCGGGTGACGATGTTGTCGACTGTGGCGCTATGTCGGATCGCGTAGCTGGGGGAGTGGCTGATGATTTGCCGCTCGGCTCTATGGAACTCGATGGAGCTGAGGTGAAAGACACGGATGGAGAGTTCTCATTGGAGTCAGTAGCGATAGCAGTAGAAATATCTACCGTCATAGGCGGCGTTGATTTGTCGGAAGATGAACAGAACTCGTCGTCGAGCTCAGGTTCCATGTGGACAACTTTGAGACGGTCAATCGTAACTGCGTCACGCTTGCCGTGTCGGTCGAGGATAAAGATACGGTCCTTACGTTGAAGAACCTTGAAATGACCTTGGTAAGGGAGCTCAAGTGATCTACGGAGATCATCAACATGGAGGAAAATGAACGGAGAGGGTCGAAGGTCTTGAGACACGAATGACTTACGCTGTTGTTCTCTGGTGTCGGTAAACTTGATGTGACGCATGCACGTGGCCAGCTACCAAGGCTATTTCTCGTCGTAACGGGGGATTCTGGGACTTTTGGAAAATAAGTCACCATGTAAACGTAAAGGTTGTCCATATGCCAATTCGGCACTGGACATATGCAGATCGGTCTTGCGGAATAACCGGATGCCAAGAACTATCATGGGCAGAGCATCAATCCAACTCAGTACAATGGCGGTGCTGATCGAAACTTTCAGTGGTTCGTGGCACCGTTCCACCATGCCGTTCGCCTGTGGATGATAGGCGGTAGTACGAATGCGTTGGCATCCAATGAGTTTAAGAAGATCGTTAAAAGTCGAAGATTCGAATTGTTGACCGCGGTCGATAGTCACTGCAGCTGGACAGCCATGCGAAGCGACCCAGCGTTCAGTGAGAGCGCGCGGTACAGTTGCTGCAGATAAGTCAGGAAGGGGAACTGCTTCAGGCCAACGTGTACAACGGCCAATCATTGTCAAAATACAGACAATTTCCTTGACCGGTACTATAGGTCCAACTAGGTCGAGATGGACATGAGCGAATCGCGTTGAAACGGACGGGAAGTGACCAAGCGGAGCGGACACTTGCCTCTGTATATTGGCTCGCTGGCACCTGAGACAAATGTGTTCCCAACGCGTAAGATCAGGTTGCATCCAGGGCCAAAGATATCGATCGGAGATGAGCTTGACGCTAGCTCTAATGCCTGGATGGGCAATGTTATGAAGCGTGTATAACATAAGACGATGAAGAGTTCCAGGGACAACGGATGGAGGTCGTCCTGTAGAAGTATCACTTAAGATTGTGACATCGGATGATGGCAGAGGGTGTGGCGATATCTTCAGGGAAGAACCGCAGAGTTCTGAGGCAATCTGATCGACTAATTGTGCAGCTGCACTGGCATACAGATCGATTGCCTTCTCGGTAGTGCTGATTGCAGGCACTGTTGACAGAGCATCAGTGACAACATTCCGGTGACTAGAAACGTGTCGAATATCGGCCGAAAATTGGGCGTTGTAATCCAGCTAACAAACCTCCCGCGGTGAGTGTCCAGCTGATTGTTTTCGAAAGGTGAAAGTTAATGGCCTATGGTCGGTGAAGATGACAAACTGATTACCTTTGAGGACTTGTCGGAAGTGCCGGATCATCGAGTAAACAGCTAGCAGTACTCGGCTGAACATGCTGTACTTAAGTTCTGCTGGTTGCAAGCGTCTCGAGTAGAAGGTAAGTAAATTCTAATATCCAGTAGTCATCTACTGCAAGATAACATCAATAGCGGATTGTGTTGCATCAGCAGCAACGCTAAACGGCGCTTTGGCGTCAAACTGGTGAAGCATAACTGAGGCAGCTAAAGCCTCCTTACTGTCCATAAAAACTTCAATAGCGGCGGGGGTAAGTTCCACGTCACCGTTATTGCGACAACGGAGTAGGTCGGTCAACGGGCTGATTAAATCAGCGCAATGAGGGAGAAATCGTCGATAGTAGTCGATAATGCCGTTGAAATGGTGAATGGCAGCTACCGTGTTCGAAAGCGGAAAGTCACGGATAGCTTGGACCCTGTCGTCTAAAGGCCGTATGCCATGGTGATCAATGGGACGACCAAGGAAATCTATAGAAGGCTGCTGAAAGGTACACTTGTCTGGTTTGACGGTGATACTACTGGCAGCGAGTCTTTCAAAGAGGATTTTGAGGTGCTCTCAATGAGCTTTCTCCGATGCGCTAGCTTCTAATATGTCCTCGATGTAAGGATAGTCCAAGTCTAATCCATGAGTGCCGGAATCTATAAAACGCTGAAATGTTTGTGCTGCGCTGCGTAAACCAAATGGCATACGAAGGAATTCGAACAAACCAAAAGGTGTAATGATAGCGGTTTTAGCCATGTCTCCGTCGGCGACCGGGATCTGGTGGTAAGCGCGTACCAGATCAATTTTCGAGAACACAAGGGCACCTATTAGGTTAGTCGTTATGTCCTAAATGCTCGGTATGGGATACCGGTCGGGAACGGTTACTTTGTTCAGAGCGCGGTACTCTCCACATGGACGCCAGTCTCTTGACTTTTTAGGCACCATGTGAAGCGGCGACGTCCACTGGCTCTTTGAAAGTCTAACGATGCCTAGTTCGAGTATGTGTGTTTGAACTCGGCTTTAGCGATGCGAATTTTGTTGGATGTAAACCGTCTAGCCTTGGCGAAAACTAGCGGTCCTTTTGTAATGGTGTGGTGTTTTGCGGCATTTGTTGCGGAAGTCATCGGCTTAGGTACACGGAAAACCTGTGGAAAGCTATCGAGGAGCATTTGTCCGATGGGCGAGCTCATCTGATTTACGTACACGAGACTGATTGACGCAGTATCGGTCAAAGTCCCAATAACGGCGAGGCTCGTTTAAGCCACAAGCAAGTCGTAGTGCTGCAGGAAATCTAGTCCGAGGATGCGTGTCTGAACCTCAGCGACGAGGAATACCCATCTAAAAAGTTATCGTACGTCAAGACTGAGCGTGTGCGAGCGTTGACCATACAAGCGAATAATGCTTCGGTTCGCTGCCAGCAATGAGCTAGTCACCTTCTCAGCAGCGTCAGTGGGCTCATGTGAGATAATTTTAACTTCTGCGCTTGTGAAAAAGAGGTAGCGTTGTCCCGTTTTCCGATTGGTAACAAAGCAAACGCTGCTGCGATGACCAACGACGTTCGTCGCCCCTACGTCTTTGTCGGCCCGTTTCCCTGTGCCTGGCTCTTAAAGAAACAAGGGGAACGACACGATCTGGCCTGCGGACTAACTTGCTTGTGGTACCAGCAATAGGATGATCTGGGCGGGGACTTCGAAGGGGGTCGTGCACGAGTTCGGCTTCTAGGACGAGATCGGCGATTAAAATGAAATGTCTTCGAGTTGTTTGTTAAACTCGGCCATCTGCACCCTGAGTTCCACTAACTCAGCAGTAGAGGTCGATTGGACCTGCGAAACTTGGGCGTAAGACTCCCAGATACGGTCGGCGGTGTCAGCCAACAGGGACAGTGGAGCATCACCACTAGCACAAAGCACGTGACACATTTCACGGGTAATGCTTGCAACAACATCTCCCGGAGAAAATCGTCGTCTACAGCGGTGGGTTTTGCTAGGCTTTGCATTTTTCTTAACATCTGTTAAGGCTTAAGATCATGTGGACGACTTGGAAGTTGGCTGCGAAGAATCTCAAGTTTTGTAACTCTTTGTTAGTTAGACAAACCTGTTCTTTTCAGAACTGCGGCTTAACTCGTTTCATAAGTTTGCTGCTCGTCAGGAAGATCTAGAATATCATCGAGGTCGTCGATAACAGGCGGAGGCAGCGCGGATACAACATGATGGACGGACTTAATACGATGTAAAAGGAAATGTGGTTCTAGCTGCGCGAACCAAGTCTTAGGATTAGTCGCGCGAAAAGGAGTTGTAGGAAGGATAATGGTACTGACCTGCACGTGACAGTCTAGATTTATGACCTTCATGGCAGAAACCACTGAGCCAGCAGAATCGAAACCCGAAATTAAAAGTATAGAAAATTACTGAAGTAGCCGAATAATGTGACCTAATCTGACAAGAAAAATTAGGAAAAGAATCACCAATTATAAGTGGGTCACCAATTATAGCGCGACGGTTGTGCACTATATATCAGGAACTCCGATTTGAACGGCCAACCAAATGCGTGCAGCAGAACACAGTGAAATAAGGTAAACAATGTTTATTGGAAGGTTGCTAAGTTCTAAGGCCAAAAAGAAGTCACCGAGAGATATTTAGCTGGGGAGTATGCGGCAAGGCGCTGAGTGCGATGGACAGCCAACCTTCGCTTTCGAAGTCCGCGGCAAAAGTCTGGATGTTGTCGGTGCGTCTCACACAAATATGCGCGCCATTCGAACATGCAAACCACTTACTTTCCTAATACATAAGAAAACTATGATTTCATAATATTTAAAGTTAATTTACACAACAAGCGGGTCAATGTCTAAGTCACTACATTCTGATTTATGTGGTTTAGCGAGATGTTTAGTGGTCAATTACGGCATAAATTTGCTCATATACTTTGCCTTGGTAAAAGAATTTTATGTTGGAAAGCCCGCCGTTCTCTGATCTAGCTCACGCATTCCAAAGTTTGCGGGGTAGAAGAACTCCCCAGTGTTAATTTCGGCTGCATTTACTTGAAAGGAAGCACTGGGATCACACCTTAAGGTCAGTGCACTGCAACCTCAGTTGTATTATTAATCCATCTCAATTTTTGGATCACATTTGTTATGGTTCGTTATAGTTTCTTTATCTTCTTTGTAGATCCGTCCTCTTCACTCTGGGCGTCCTCATTCTGATCAAGGTATCACTCGCTGTGGCCGATTCAGCCTCCAGCATCGTGGAGGAATTTCGTGATGCAATCGGCATGTGCTCCACTAGAGCTATAGACAGAAATTTGACTCTGGAAGATTGCAGAGATTGTGTGGCAACCTTGTACAAACGATGTGTCCTGTTTTGCCGGAATAGCATACTGGAGAGAGATGATTGCGCAGGTGTGTGCCACGCAGCTCGAATATACGGTGTATTTTCTTGCAAATCCAACCTGAATTGATGTATATGTAGAGAAAATGTCCTAGTGAAATAGATTGCATGTAACGCATTGTTTTCTCTTGTTGGCCTACTAACCTTGATTGGTGTGTCATTGGAAAGCACAGGTACGCCCTTAGTCTAACTTATGGCGTTTACATCGTGGCAAGTGTGCAAGACGGAGACGAAAAATCGAATTTCTTCTGAATACGCAACCTATGTTAGGAGATTGACTTTTAGCTCACAGTTTTACAGGGATGTTGCCAAGTGCATCACTGTGCTGACTAAGTTTATGATATTTAATCCAATTTAAGTCTGAAAACGAATTTCGGTAGATTAAGCGCACCACGGACACCCAAAGTAGAGACCCTCGAACACGATAACTCACACATCCTATATGCCAAGTTAGCTGCTACGCATGGGCCCGCTTGCCGTGTTTGTTGAGCAGGCTACAAATGAGTGCAGCTTATATGCATACAGTGAGCCAAGGACCAATTAAATTCACTGCATGGTTCTACCAGCTTTTGCAAAGATTGTAGTATTGGGAGGCTAATCAACTGGTGAGCAAGTTGGGGCGAACAATAGTTCCTGTGAATTGATGGATCACACGAAGTTCCCCTGCCACCTGTTCTGTCCTGATCCCACGTACTGTGACAGTCGCGGTCACTAACCAATGCAAGTTTCACCGTCTACTTTCATGTGGCTTGCACATTCTCTTGCCATCACTGTTATTGCTGCTTGGTTTGCGCACAGACGATGATTAGGTTGCGGCCAGCCTTTTGCTGGATTAAGTAGCATCTCTAAAATGCGGTTAATAAGTATATTTCAAAAAGGATGCGAATTTAGTCTATCACATTAAATTAGTTGAACATGTCAGTGAAGAATGCTTTTTTACGAGCTAGGAAATCTTACTTTACAAGCCCCTTCTGATAGTGTAGTGGTGTAATCGAAAAACGTTAATAAAAACGGTTAGTACTTTTATTGTTGGAAGAAAATCTTATCATTCTTAATCCAGCGGCCCTGCACTTCACATAGTTTCACAGCATCAATACGCGACAAGTACTAAGTTCAAGATATTTCCCAAGAGTCGAATGGAGTGATAGGGCCAAGCAACAGGTTAGAAGTGGCTGAGTGCGTCATCTAACCGTCTCTTCATTATGGATAGCATCCATGCAAAACGGCTGATTTAGGGAGTGCGTTCCATAGGGTGATACACGAACAGGAAAGAACTTTCCGCAGCATTCCAGGCAGATGTACTGTTCTGTCAGCTTCTAGGCGGTACCACTGAAATTGGTTCAAGTGCTGAGTCGCAGAAGAGAGCAGTGCACATGATTTGGATTATGCTGGATCATTTAAGCCATTTTCAGGTCGCCTCGTGAATTGCGATCCGTCCGCTGAATACTCCCAAGTGTTTTGGTCACCGCTCATACACAAGATTGCATGTTCCATTGGCAGTCTTGGTAACCTAACTTCAGACTGCTTGTAAGCAGTGTTTTAACCATGGTTACCAGGCTGGAATCACGTATTCGGCGCAGTCGTTGATTCGGGGACGTTTATGCACGCTGCAGTTTAGGTGCTATTGTTGGATTCATGTTTCGTTGGACTACAAGGTACTGTTATGAGATAAATGCCTACTGTCTATCTCTATTCCCATTAGAGGTGTTATTAAAAGAAGAGACCGTAAGGGTGGCATTCCAGATGGATCCTGCAGCAACCTCGTAGTTGACTGAGGTACCGAGGGACTTTGGCCAGCTCAGAGACCTTTGGGCTGCAGATATAGAAGGCGGTTGTTAGGATACCCTATACTTGTTAATGATAACAGTTTTTAAGACATGCAAGACTTTATCCGTCGCACGTTTTTGTTGGTGTCTGAGTGTCGTTGTCATGAGTACCGCTTGGCTCTTTAGGCCCCGGTCTGTTCACGCCCGACTTTCCGTTAAAGTTAGGAGAGATAACGTTGATGGGGAGCTAATCGACCATGGTTCGGGGAACTCAGGTTCGGCAGTGCCCATTTGCTTTGAGGCTACTACGCATTCCGAGCGCATACAACCTTTCAATAAAGCAGTTTGGCATTCATCCGCTGTTCGGCTTCTGCTTCTGGCCAAAGATAAACTTACACAGGATGGATGGGATATAGGAACATGTATTGCAAAACCAAAAGACATCTGGTGTGCTGTTCCGATCCCTCATACCTCGTTGGGGTAGGTTAGTGCACTGCTGATAAAGCCACTTGGAACAGTGCAAACAGGCTTACCCAAACTTGAATTCTTGTTTAATTTTCCTGAGCCACAATGCCCATCGCCTTGAGCCCATTAGGAAATGCATTTACTTGATTGCCACAACTGAGCGTAGTGGCGTTTCCTGACCCAGCGAGCTGATTGCTGTTTCGTACCTTTTCGACTTTTATAACGAGTTCCCACCGGTCGGAAGGGCGATGTAGTTATAAAGTCACGTGCGCGCGAAACTGGTGGTCTCTGTGACATGTTGCACATGTTCAACGGTAGACAGCGTCCCGAAGAATAATGGGTGACTTCCGGTTATCAATCACTTCGGACTGAATGATGGGTGAACAGCAAAATACAACAAAAGAAGGTGCAGCTATTGCAGATGGTATTGGAGAAGCACGATTTCCACTTAGATTGATTGCATCAAGTATACTTTCTCGAAGGGGCATGCAAATCCAAGAATTGTTTGAAAGATGAGGAAAGTACTGTTGGGTGGAGCCTGGGATACTAGTCGTTAATCAATGACACGTAAGAGACGTGTCAAATACGGGACAGTATAGAAGCTGGAGGCGACTGAACCCAACATATATACTGCAGACTACAAAAATAGGAAGCGAATCAACCAGAGCGAGAAACGGTGCAGCAAGATACTCACCAAAATGATTTGTGTCAAAGGATGTGCAGTAAGTAAAACAAGTCGACGTTTTGAAGGTTAAAACAACCGTAACATCGAATGTTGCAAAATACCGAAAGAGCTTGCTTTCCGGTCCACTACAGTACAAGCATGAGTTGCAAAAGCAAACTCATCACCAGTGCTGAAGACCATAAGACGCTAAGGCGCCAAGTATAATTCAAGCAAAGGCATCATCATTGTAGTGTTGATAAATCCTAGTCGAATGAATGCAAAGTCTTTGATGTGAAACAAAATAGCGAGCGAGGAATCCACAAAGGCCAGTGTGCCGAAACTGTACGATCACACGCAAGGTGACGATTCGGTGCTTCAAACATGGATCTGCGCGTACCCACTATATTTAAAGTTAAATCAATAAACTAAATTTAAATGTTTCTCAATTGTGGGAGACACAGCTCAGTATGTTATTCCAATCCAATTGTACAAGGTTTTTGCAAAATTCTTGAAGATACAGAGAAGGATAAAATAAGCTTGGAGAACTTGTCATTGAACATGCTCACTCTTACCATACAGGCGGCAGTACCTATGGTGCGCCGAGGCTGGTGGTGGCTAGATCCTGACAGATGGTCTACCCGCTGCTGCTACTGTTGTGCCACTTGACCATGTCCTGGGCGCCATCTCGTGCCGACCGCTGGGTGGGATTTGGGCTTCGCCCATCACCCTGCTAAAACCCAGTACACTAATCCGCATGAGTCAGTGAACTGACCATGTGCAAGACCCACAGCCTTTCGGGTGTTCATTTATTCGAAAGCTTTGATTGAGGACCTGAGTCGTTACCCCTGTCAGGAGTGGGCGCCCTGCCAGTATCCTAATCCATGCTCTTCGGAGGTTAAGAAGTGGTCGATGGCCCGCCTCCCGTAAAACCTAACCATGGGAGACAACAGGTCTACGGTTTATAAGGTCACAGCTAGATTGGCGTAAAGCAGGAGCGTCACACATTGTCTCTGAAGGTGAGAGGGCACCTCCGGGTGTTCAGTGGTTTGCTACTGACCGCCTCAAGCCATTCAGCCCCCGGTCAAATCGCTGCAAACCCGCCCAAACTCACCTGAGTCTGGCCGTGGTCGAAGGTATACCCTATTACCGTCGCAAAACATATAAGAATTATTCCAGTATCTCAAAAGATGTGTGTGACAGCCGTCAAGCGGATCCCAGTCTGTATCTGCAATCACATTCGCGAACTGGATCTGCTCCCCACTGTCTTGTGGGTCAGGCTATTGAGCCAAAGGCTCCGGGTGGAGTCCCTCAAGCAAACCTCCGAATCACATCTGCCAACTCGTGTACGATTGCCCACCAATGGAATCGTATGCCTGCGCACAATGCACTCAGCATCGGGTGATGGAACGTGCGCACACTACTGCACTGCAAATCGATTGAGCGCCCCGAGCGACGCACTGCACTGGTCACGATGGAACTGGCGCGCTACCACATCGATATTGCGGCGCTCAGTGAAACTCGACAGGCTTAGCAAGGTAAGTTGCATGAAGCAGGTGCTGGCTGCACATTCTACTGGGTGGGCAACGCTGCCTCAGCACCATGTGAACATGGGGTCGGATTTGCAATAGCCGATCGCTTCCATGGCCAGCTCGTGGATAAACCAACAGGCATCAGCGCGCGACTAATGACTGTTCGCCTACGACTCGGGATAGGTAAGTTTGCCACTTTTATAAGCACCTACGATCCAACCATGTGTTATGCTGATGACACGCGTGAACACTTCTAAACTCAGCCATCCTCCGTGATACGGTCTGTGCCGAGTAGCGACCGACTATTTCTACTGGGTGATTTCCATGCATTCGTTGGTCGTGATGCATCGGTGTGGACAGATGTTTTCGGTTCACATGACATTGGTACAGCAAATGCGAACGGTAACTAGTTGCTCTGACTGCGTGCCTCTCACAGCCTGAGGATCACGAACACTCGGTTTGCACTGAGTGCGAGTGATATAGCAACTTGGACGCACCCACGAAGTGGGCACGCTCACCTGCTCGACTATGTCATCGTACGTCAGCGTGATATACGTGAACTGCGCATGACAGGTGTACTGCGTGGAGCTGAGTGTGGCACTGATGACAAATTGGTGCGCACCAAACTGTACATATATTTTCGTAAACCTATGTATTGCACTCCCGCCGTGAATCGGCGCAAATATAACAT